AGACTGCCCTGCCAGGAGGCTGGCCTTCCATCCACGCCGCCCTTCTGGGGCTTTAGTGGGCAGTGTGGCCCCACAGGACTGGCCTGGACTCTACCAGAAGCAGGCCAAGTTCAAAGACATTCCACCATCCCTCAGGGCCTTTGATGCAGAGAACAGGAATGCACGGCACTGTCTCCGGGTGGCAATCCTGTCCACTAGACTGCAGCTTTCATGGGGCAGACCACCCGCCCACCTGATTATGCGCCAACATCTATTTCCTTGACTTTGAGGGTGCCACCATAGTCTAACTTTCTCTTCAGGGGGCTGCCCAGTGTCATGCTTTCCTTTGTTCCTAGCAGGCTTACCTGTGTCTCAAACAAAACAAAGTTCCTATTTTAAGCTCCTAATTGCCCACTCTCAGTCTCCAAGCATTGTCCCGCAGTGCATGGTGGTGAGGGCCCACAGTGGACAGGAGCTAGCAGTGCAGAGCAAGAAGGGGTTAGAGTGGGTATGAAGAGGTTTAGGTACCAGGGGCTGGGCAGGCTGGCTACACCTGTCCACCAGCATAGTCCACATAGGCAGACTCAAATGGCTGGTGGTGCCCAGGGCCTGAGGCTGAGGTAGAGCCGAGAGGCACTGGCCCAACTGAGGACTTCAGTAATGGGGCTCTTGATATGTGAGCTTTCAAGGCCCAACCCTCTTACAGGGGAGGTTTGATCCCCCCACACATTACCCACCACTTTTAAGGGGAGGTCTGACCCCCACACACATTACCCACCACTTTGCTTTTCCACAGCTCACCCGTCGATACTGTCGTGGCTTCGTTGGCCCTGGAACTCCTCCAGGCTGTCGGGCATTAGACAAGGCCATCCTGTGGCAACCATCCGCTGCACAGCACGGTCAGACCCCACACAGTCCTTTCTCACCTGCCTCAAGTGGAGCTAATAAAATCGATGGGCCAGAACCTGATGTCTCCAGCACTCTCACTGACTGGGATGACTAACCTAGTCCTTATGTGGAGGTCAAGTGGCCTCCACTCAGGTGAGCTACAACCCTTAGCAGCAGCTAAGGGGCAACTTGTCTAACCCCCACTCTCCTCTAGTGTTGCATGGCCACTTCCTTTTCAAGGACGGATAATTCCAAGAATCTCAGAGAGGCCCTGGTGAGACTCACATGCAAAACAAGTTCAGTTTGCAAGCAGGAGTGCAGGACACTGGAGTCCAGCAGCTGTGGGATGCTGGTGTCAAGGCAGATTTGCTTCTCCAAATTGCCCCTCGTCCCTTAAAATCTCTGCCATGTGCTAAATGACAAGTCTGGTGGACACTGAAGGATGAGGGACTGCTGTGTGGGGCAGGCCTGTTTGAGCCAGCTCTGGACAGGAGGCTAGGACCTCTGGGACTTCTTCAGGTTTCTGGCCCATTTGCTACTCCCTCAAGAGAACAGACATAGCTGGCCCATTTGTACTCCAGGATGTTTCTCTGGGAAGAAGGTGTGCACATATGAAGCAGCTACTGTCACCAGCAGCCCTGTCTTGACATGGTGACCTGGATAGCCTGGCAGCTCCCACTTGACCTCATGATGAAAACAGCCATACCGTGCCAAGTCCTCCTCTTGCCTACAAGGCTCTTTTGGCATGGCTAGACTCAGGGTTCCACTGTCCTGAGCAGGCCTTGGATGGGGTGACAGACACAGAAGCACTAAGGATTTTATGCAGCTAGGAGTGGTGTCTTAACAGGCTGTGTGTCCGTGTGGACCTGGCCTGGCTGCTTTGTGCAGTGATGTGGCTGCTGGCTTGCTCCTCAAGCTTACAAACTACTGTGGATACGTGACAGGTGAGTAGACGGCTAGTGGAGGTAAGGAGGCAAGCACAGCTCCTCCTCTGCCCTCCCTCAAGAGAGCAGACATAGCTGGCCCCTGCCCTGAGCTCGGCCCCTGCCCTGAGCTCAAGCGTTGTGATGGCAGTCAGTCCAGACCCAGGCTTCTGCCTGCACTGCAGTCTCATTCCCCAACTCCAGATGCCACTAAGCACACTGGTCACAGATAGAAGCAGAGGACCATGGAGGTGGCTGCCCAGGCCCTATTTCCTTCCCTCCACTAGCAGCCCCCAGCTCAAGACTTTGCCCTAAACCACAGCCTGAAAGTAGGGGCTGGTTGTGCTGCCCCTCAGGAAACCGCAGTAAGGAAATGGCCACAGCTGCCCTGAGGAGACCTAGGTAGCTGTGGTGGTCACCCTTCAGCTCTTCACATGTCCAGACATCACATGTTTTGTTTTCTGCATGCATCATAAGACACTGGGCTGGCATTTCTCTGTGCTCTGGTCCAGCAGAGAGCTGCTGAACAAGACAAGTGGAGGATTCCCGCCACCCCCACCCCAGTCCCAGCCAGCTCACAAATAGCCTTTATCCCCTTCCCCAGACACTGAAAAAATATAGCGTACAAATAAATTCCCCAATACCTGACATGGGTGCAGACAAGAGCAGCCACAGCCCAGGCGGCTCAGCTAAGGCAACCTCAGCCTCACCCCCACCGAGGGCAGCACAAGGGAAAAACATTGGCCTCTGACTTTCATGGTCAGACTGTTGGCCTAGCCTGCAGCTTGGGGTCCATGGCAGAGAATGTGACTAGCAGTTTTAATCAAGAGGCAACAGGCCCAGAACCACAGATCTTACTGAGCCTTGTGCCAGTTACTTGTTTTTGTAGGTGGCTATATTCAAGACCCCATACACCCCAAGGCCAATAGCCACAAGCTGCCTGTTCTCTGCTTTTCTATTGATGCACTTCAGTGATTTCCTCTCAACTCAGCCATGCTGGATTCTCTTCTACTGGTTACTCACTCACCAAATGGTCATGTGACAGCTTGCTTAGCTGTTGGGAGTTGCTATTTCTCACAGTGCTCTGCCTTTGGCAGCACCTCAAGCTCTCTGGCTTACAATGTGCTGGTCCCACCCCAAATGGACATGAGGTGTGACTTCTATTGTCATGAAAATCTCTTGGAAATACAAATGGTACTGTTACCAGCCTCTCCTTTTGAGAAACCATGTGCATGTCCACCCAGTGCATGTGTGAAAGCCAGGGCACTGCTCTCTGGGGTCGGTTGCCTTCCACCATGTTGAGGCAGTGTCTTTTTAAGAACATCATCCCATTTTCATTTCCTGGGTACCACTGCAGTGTGTAGGAGGGGTAAGTTGGTTTCCCCTCTGCTACCTTGGCCATCAGGTGCCCTGACTTACAGAGCCATCTCCCAGCCTGAGGCAGGATCTCTCGTTTCTGCTGCTGGGCTCCACACTCTGGGGCAGTTCTGCCACAGCCAGCGTTTTAATGACAGGTTCCAGAACTTCAACTAGGGTGGCCAGGCTTTCACCTGCTGAGCCAGCCCTCTCCAGGGTGCTTGCTTGGCTTCACCACTGACTGCAGAGTCCTATTACTTCTAGTGCTGGGGTTTGAGGAGTTAGGGGTAGGAGAACGGACAGACCACATTCCACACGGACTTAGAACATGCTGCCTTCTCCCCAGGTCTCACCAGTTTATAACTGTACTCAAGACACTCCTTTCAGGAGGCAGTGTGGTGAGGATTACTCTCTAGAGAGCAGACAGCCATCAGACCTGTCTGATCTAGAGCTGCTACTTATCTAGCCAGTGCCTTTCACTATCAGGACCCAGATCAAAGCACCTACCTCATCTGTGCCCATTCCCCTTTGGCATGGTGGCTGCTGCAGGAGTCAGATGTCTACCTCCCCAAAACAGCTCAAAACTGGAGCTGCAGTCAGAAGAATGCGCCCTGTGGAAAGCCCTATCTTCCCGTCACCTGCAAGTTTGTCAGAAACGGGAGCACAGCTGTTTAGGAGCTTCCGCCTACAGCATTTCTTCACTAGTGTGGGTACCTGCCAGCATCCTGTGCACGTCACACCCCGGACATGCCGTCTGTGAATGCTGCCCTACCGAGTGTGCTAGCGTGGTGCTAGTAGAGTACGGTGCTCACTTTCCTACAAACCTCCACCACTGCCTGTGACTCGGGCCTGCATCTCAGACAGCACCCATCTGCATTTCTGCCCCTTCGCCGGTAAAGGACCTTTGCAGTTAGGACCTGGCTCTACGTCATCCTTGTACGTCCATCCTTCTAGGTATGTACGAGCACTACGTTTTACAGACACCTTGCTGTGGTCCCTTCTCATATAAAGGCTGACTGCAGTAAAGCTCTACCCATTAACCTGACCCAAATCCACTCTGGACCACAGTGGGCTATCTGAGTACTTCCTCACGGGACCTTCCTCCTCCTGTGGATTTTGAATTTAACAAGCACAATCTTAAAACCCAGGAAACCAAATAGCTCTCTAAAGTACAACACATTCTCACCTTTTAGAAAACCCAATCATGAGTTGTAACAGGTCTTTGTAGGAAATGTACAAAGCCTGCTTGACAGACCCACCACCACGATGACAGCTCATCTGGCAGGCCACAGGGAAGGCAGCCCATTCTGGTTTTGATTAAGATCAGATAAACATAGTTACTGGCTCAAAGGAATAGGGTTGCTCTCTCCAGGAGAGCCATGCTAGCAATGATGCTTAAGTCCAAACCAGGCCGAGCTTCACTACTGCACAGTGGGATGACCCCAGCCTAAGGAAGGGCTTAGTCAGTGTGCAGCTTTAGTTACTACTCAGTGTAGCACAGATACTACAGCAGGAAGTGCCTGCCTAGTTCCTGGAAGAGAGGGTGAGCTGAAAGAGGACTGGTTACACAGGCTTGCTCAGCCCTCTGGTCAGAAGTGGCAGAGCAGTTATTTCACAGAAGGGCAGCCAGACAGTGACAATATTCAAGGCCGACAAATACACGCTTCCCTCTTCTGGTTTGCCTGGGTTTTGGCATGACACTGCTAAGGGTCACTGAGCATTCCCATCCAGACTTGGTCCTTCTCTACCCTGACAGCCTGGCCACCCTGATGGTGTCCCTTCGTGGGGCAAGCTGGACGCCTTCATTGCCCTCAGCAACCATCTCAGGACAAACAAACAAAAAATGACACAAGCGAATGAATTAAAAGTTTAATTCTGAACCATTTTATAACCGCATCTGTTGAAGCATTGTATCACAGCAGGTTACAACAACTTTGGGATAAAAGGCAACTGGTATACTGTCCAAAACAAGGTTCAAATAACACCTCTTACTGATTTACCCTACCGCACGTATCCCCGATAAAGTTTTTGTTCAAAAACATGAAATAGATCCACCTGCTTATTTTAAGCATATTAAAAAGGAAACTAATGGGACCATTTCTATCTATTTATACAAAAGGCTACACAATGTTACACATCTCCAGATTACAATTAGCGTGATTATGAATTAGTGTTCTACACCATTACTCAGTTCTTAGAAATCAGAAATTGCTGTAGCAGGTTCACTAGAACATAACACTACGAGACTTAAAAACTAACAGTTACTGCAAAAAAATAAAAGCTACTTCAAAGCAAGCAAAGTCAGTACCATTACAGATATTAAAAAAAAAAAAAAACAAGCAAGGCTAGGGTTTGATAACGCCATCTTGTGATCCATTCGTGTGCACTCTTCACTGCGTGAGTCACTCCCCAAATCCATTTGTATTGTTACTCCTCGACCAAAAAGGACCAGAACAAAACGTTTACTTCGACTGTTCCCATAGGAAACTCAGCTTGGTTAGTGTGTCAGGCACTTTCTGAGATACCAGCCCACCCCTCGAGCCCTCTCAGCAACTCTACAGGCCAATCACAATGCAAGTTCAGACAATACAGCTGTATAGAGAGAAAGGCTGCTATTAATGTGGAAAACAGCAAATGTTACTCATCTGAGTATAACGCTGCAAAAGCTGTGGCAAAAACATCAACGTGATAAACTTCCACACATGAACATCTCCTTCCAAGGTATGTATCTGTTTTGTGGCAGATTTACAAACAGGCCTAAAACCATTCCCACCCTACCAAGTCTTTCTGGAGTTCTGCAGGCAGAGTAAAGTATTCACCCACACTGGCTTTTATAAGCTTTCTTACCTAAAGGACGATTTACAGGTCAGTATCAAACCAGGCCAGCTGATTGCTATCACCTGGGGGCAGCCCATCCATGAGGTCCTGGGCATGTCCCAGATCAGGCAGCCCATCAACTGGATAGTCAGCACCAGGGTGGTGGCCACCCATCTCATGCTCCATCATAGGGTCCATCCCCAAGGCATCCTGGCCGTATCCACCAGAGTGAAAAGAACGGTAGCTGGGATCTGTAGGAGTCAGGGCATCCACAAGGTAGGCAATGGAAAGAGGAGAGACTGATTAGCTGAGGTAAGGAAGGGAATCTTGCCTGCCAGAACACTGCTTTCTAGGCTCCTTTTTCAGTAATCACATAAAGCCAGGCCTCACACAGTCCTGAGACTTATCTACCACACAGCAGCAGCAGTGTGCCTTCAGCACTTGATTCTGACCCTGGTAGAGCATGAGTGAGAGGCAGCAGCTTACTGTGCCTGACCTCCTGAGAATGCAAAGTCTGATCTGCCTGTCACAGATCAGGTGAGGAGCCAGACAATTCCACAGCTCCTTGGATAAAGCCTCTGGGATAAGGTGATGGCGGCAGCACGTTGGTCAATTTTGGATACTTTTCCAGAAAGCTCTGATGAATCAGCTATGAGTCATCCATCCTAGACCACCCCCGTTCTCCAAGACAAAGGGTTGTGTGACCAACAAAAAGCCAGGCGACAGGGCTGGCAGGAGGAGCATGCCCTGGCAGCAGGCGACGGCCAAGCTCCCTGTGCTCCACACTGCTGCTGACTCTGGAATTCACTGACCATCTTTAAGTGCAACTACCACTACCTCCAACCCAGGTTCCCAGGCTTGACAAGGGCTTTATGACATACCATCCTGGCGATATCCAAGGGCTTCTCCCTGGGCACCAATGTCCAGTCCAAGATCAGCAGTCTACATAAATGGGTACAGGAAGAACAAAAACATAAGATCACAGAAGACAAAGACCTCAAACTGCATGTAGCATTAAACCATTCACTCACTGAGTGAGTATGTATGTGTGAGAGACAATGGCTGTTCCATCCAAGGATACATGTACAGCAGCAATACTGCTCCAACACTGAGTGCACAGTGGCAAACGATAGTCTGAGCACGAGTAGCAAGGCTGCCATCACCCAAACAAAGGCAACTGTGGGAACAGGCTTCAGGACTCGGGTGGGCAGGGAATGGCAAGGGCTCAGGTTGGAACACGTTACGATGTACACTCAACACCCAGCTCCCACATGACTCACTGTCTGAAACCCAAGACTGCACTCAGTGGGCATCACACACTGAGATCTGGGCTCTAGTAGGGAACTATGGGGTGTTTAAAACAGAATTCTAGGGAGGTTTATTAGAAACCGATTCAAAGACTACCTGTACTGAGGACAAATCACTAACAAATGCAAAGAAAAGCAGACTGTACAAACAGCATATTGATAAACCGACTCTCAACTAACTGCTCAGCAGACTACCTTCCCTTCTCACCCTTGGAAGACTCACAGCTTTATCTTCCCTATGCTCCTACGAGTTCTAGGGGAGACTGTGCTCATGCAAGCTGTAGTCAGAGCCCAGTGAAAGCACTGACTCGTGCAATGCTGGCCTACCTCATTCCAAGCCATTGGCTCTGTCCTGAAGAGGGAACTGGTCAGCTCGACTGAAAGCCGTTTCTTGTAATCCTGGGGCTTGTCCTCAGACATTCGGAATAGAACAGCAGCTGCGTATGTTGCTGGAATAGAAAAAGAAAAGAGCCCTTGTGGCCAAGCCCAGCCCCTGCCCCAGCGCATAGGCAGCTAATGGACTGGGCTCCTCTGCTTACCCACGCCTTCGTTCCTGGAGTGGAGTAACTCTGTCAGGGGAGCTGTGGCTCCCTCAGCTTCAATGGCCTCTGCAGCCTCCTTGTCCTGAGCAAGTTCACAGAGGACCCCTGCAGCTACTCTTTGGATATTCTCAATGGGAGAATAAAGCAACTATGGAAAACACAGAACAAGACCCAATTAAACCCAAAATAAAGCATGGCATGGGCCCAACTGTGGCACAAACTTGACCAATGTGGTCCCTTGGTTGTATTCCTACATGTCAGCAGCACCCACTTGGCTGTGTTTGTGTTCCCTAATCTGTGTTCCCAGGAGAAGGCTGCCCTGGCATAAAGGATTTCTAGAATTGTTCTCTGGTCCTCCCTCTCTCTAAGGCTGTAGTCCCAGTGCTCTTGACTAAAAAGGAAAGGCTTCTGGTCTCTAATCCAATGTTTAGACTCAAGTCTGGAAGTCAGTCACCTGAAGCCAACGTACCTGCACAAACAATGGAATGGTATTGAGTCCTCGGATTACAATCCGGTTGTGAACATCCCGAGCAAGAATGTGGAGCGCTCCAGTACACCCTTCAACTATCTCCTCCATGCGGACGCCCTCCTAGCAGGAGAAAAGCAGTGAACAAGCTGGCACTCTCTGAGGAGCAGCTGCTGGCCACTTATTTGCATTGTCTCCCAAGATCCTCACAGCTTGCCCAGTGCTCAGTGGAGTATCACGGAAGGCTCCTAACAGTAGGCCTTCTCCCTGCACAGTGCCATGTACAGTGAACAGCTTTCCTGTGCTGTGACTTCCACATCTGCAGATTAACCAACCACACATCAAATGCAGCTGCAGAGAAGCCTACGCCTGTGGGAAGCGCAGCATGTCCTGTCCATTACTGCCCGAGACTCACTCTCACGTGCACCCTACAGGGTCAGCACAACCCAAAAGTGAACAAGGGCATACTGTGAATTTTTGCACAAGAGACCTGAGCTTCTGCAGATACAAACTCCACAGGCACTGAGGACAGTGGCTGTCCAGCTTCCCTATCCTTCAAATCCCAAAGCTGGCCTTCTCACTGCATGGAAGAGCATCAACCGGCCTGAGTAAGAGGGAAGTGGATGTGGGCCATTCTAACTAACGGTTCTTTCCACTTGTCCTCTATTTCTTACATGCATCTCCTGAAAACTCTCCTTGGTTGTATTCCTACAGTTAAAAATCAGCAGTCTGTATATTTGCTTTCTAATCTACAACTATGTTTTTGACTCTGCTACTTTTATAGTCAACTTGATTTCTATGAGGACATAGAATTTCCTTCATAAACTATATATAGGCAGTGGCGCCTTAATATGAGGCCATCCTATGGAGAGGGGCCAGGAACAATATCCAAATGCAAAAAAACCACCAGCAGTATGGATGGGGTTCTAAAACCTGTTGTGACAGGCTTCCTGTTGATTTCTGATGTGAAAGAACCTGCTAGAGTTGAATACAAATATGGCTGTGGTAGATCTCCTACATCGACACATGCTTTCATTACCCACACCACTACATTACACTCTATGCCCCTGTTTACGGCTAATCAGGGAAACGTCACCAGAGCTTGTCACACAGTGTCTCTGGAAACTAAACACAGGTTAGGTTTTTCCCAGTCATCAGCAACCCTTCAGCAAAGGATGGGGGGGGGGGGGTAGAAGACAGCACATGGGGATTGCACTCATCCCACCCCTTTACAACAGCCACACATCACAAAGATCTACACACCACAAACTGCTGCTGTGTTCCACCCATGGAGGTGCGCCGTTGGGTGTCCTGATGTGCTCGTACAAGCAGCTGAACCAGTCGTGGAATAGCACCCTGTTCCCGCAAAGGTGCATGATTTGCTGGGCAGAGGGCAAGGTTTCGAATCAATCCAACAGTTGCCTACAGAGGGAAGGATTAGCGGACAACACAGCAGCACAAGCGGTGTTGAGTAAGTAGATGCTTTGGAGCCACCCCACCCCCCAGCCACCCTTCCCGGCAGACAGTCTCTATGTCCAGAGTGCACCCTGCTCTCACAGTTCACCTTTATCAGAGGCCAATGGGACGGTGGGTGCAGGAGTTTAACCACAACAGGTAGTCCATAATGAAGGCGTACAGCATTCTGGGCCATCTCAGCTTCCTGATGCCGGCTGGTCAGATGACGAAGAGCACAGATGGCAGGCTCAGTGATGTCCTCCCTGTCACCGGCACGAAGGACAGTGCGCACAAGAGCCTCAATGCCACCCACTTGGCACACCATCATCTTGTTTTTGTAATTATTGCAAGTGAGGTTAGACAGGATTCCAGCTGCGCAGGTGACCACATTTATGTCATCAGAACCCAGAAGCTGCACTAGAGTCCCAAGGAGGCCTTCCATCCCTTCCTGTTGAGATAAAGACACGCTGAGTTCAGGGCTCATGGAGACCCTAGCACCAAGGCAGCAACTTGTGCACAACGTACCTGCTTAGTCGCTGCATCTGAAAGGTTTCTCAGAGTCCAAAGACAGTTTTGAACAAGTCGCTGACTCGGGTCTGTCAGGTGAAGGCCCAGTGCCTGCATCCCACCTGAGAAGTCAGACATCAAAGGCAATGGCTCTTAGCTAGGCAGGCCTGTCAGTCCCTGACTAGCAAAGCCTACTCTCCTCCTCCGAGGACTTTATTTCCTTCAGTCTTCTAGACTGTCACACAGCTTTTCTAGTCCACCTTGCCAGTGACACCTCATGTCAAATGGCTGCTTTTTCCTTCTACCATTTGTGGACAGTTCCACTGTCGTCACCTGCAGGTAACATCCCTACCAACTCCTTTCATTCAGCCACTTCCACAATGACCCTCCGCCCCAGGGTTGGTTCTGAGCTGGATGAAGCAGTTTGTGGTACTTTGCTGACCATCACATGGTGTGCGCAGAGGAAAAGTCAGTCAGGACTGCTTAAGCCTGAGTTCAAGGACAGTCTGGGCAACAGTGACAGGCCATTAACAAGTCACATAAACCACACCCCTTCTTTAACCGAAATCACTTCTGATTTCACCGAGAGACACATTCTTATCTCCTTGTTCATCCTGCACACTTACTTTGTGTCCTAAATCTGACTTTTTAGACTTGCATTTGTCACAACTTTAATTTAGTCCACCTTCCTGACCTGATGGTCTCTCAAATAATTCCTTCCTCACAGTTCCCCTCCAGCTTCTGGCAGTGACTTGGGTTGAGGCTGATGCTCCTTTGGTAAATGACTGGCTATTTTCTTTATACAACTATTAACTCTCAGAACATGCAACTTGCCCCAAATGCTTATCAGAAGAGCTTAGAAGACAGCAGGTCTTAGTGGTTAACAACCCATTAAGCTATTCTGAGACACCCCTCTTCCTTCCTGTCATAAACTCAGGCAGCTTCCCACCCTTAGCCTGGCTTTCCTCATGTCCTTCTAGCTGAATGTCACCTTCTTAAATAACCTTGTTAACAAATTAGCAAGGCCCTGACAGTTCCACTTAACCTGCAAGGTGTCACCGTTCTTGCCAAAGACCACTTCTCTGGTTTGCTGCTGTAGTCTCATGGCTGCTAGGTACTAGGACTGGTTCCCAAGACCCAGCACTTCTATTTACTTGCTAGGTTTCTAAGCCAGCTGTTTCCTCCTTCAGTGGTTCCCACTGTGTAGCTACTCTCCTGCTCATCAACACTGCACAGCACACAGCTGCCCTTAGACGACCACCTCACTTCTCAACCGTGAGGACCTGTAGTAGTGTTCTCCATGTGGTACCAAAACAGCAGTCACTCCTGTATACCAGGGCCCTGCCTAGCTCACTACCTGATCCTGCTCAAGTTGTACTTGTACCAACAACCTCCTTGCTCTAAGACACACCCACACAATGCTCTACACCCAGAAAGCATTTAAGCTCCCATGTCTCAAGCAAAAACAAGGTTGCTGCTTCCCCCAAAGTGCCTGCCATGCAGCATTCCTTTTCTGGGGTGGCCTCCTCAGTAGCTATCATTGTTATGTGCGGTCCACACACATAACATAACACACATTCCTCTCTTCTATTCTGAGACTAGGCCTTGCTAAATAACCCAGGAAGTCCTTCCTAGACCTCTCGACTGCCCCTACCTAAATGCTCGGACTCCAGGCCTGTGCACTGAGTGCAGTCAGCATCTGCCTTTGTGATTTGTGCTCATCTTCACAAGACTAAGTAGGAACCAGTTCCCTACCACTCTACAGATAGATGCACAATAACAAGTGTCAGTTACACTGCTTCAAATATTCTAGGTGCTGTAAGTGTATTCCAGATCAACACATCCACATCAGAATAACCTGGGCATCTGAAAAGGTTCCATGCACATCTATCTCCAACTATCCCAGCTATCTATAGACTATCAATCTACAAGCTCACATTTAAACAAGGCTTATAGAGGTTCTGGAAAAACTAGCAGAGCCACAGGTATCTTTCCCAGGCCCATGGCTTCACTGTTAGTAACTACCTCAGTAACCTGAAGTGCTTCCAACAGCACAAAGGTGGCTGTGGCGACCCTGTGCCTCGTCCTCAGCACCTTCCTCTACAGAATGCCTTCATCATTTCCCACTCCTCCTTGGGATCTGAAGCTTGGTCCAACAGCCTAGGCAGATATTAGTTGTTTGCTGAAAAGAAGCCAGAGAGCTGAAACTACTTTCTTGGGCCAAACCAAGAGGCCTGGACATAAACCATGTATTTTCTTTTCTTCTATCACTGAGAACACATTAACAACAAATCTCACACAAATCAAAACCACTTATCTACTAAGCTGCACTCTATATTCACAGGATTGCTAGTGAGGCCCAACCTCGCATTACCAAAATCAAATCAGAAATAAGCTTTATGGAACGATGTGTCTTTGTTGTCTCTAACAAAAACCTAAGTAACCCAGGGACAGGTGAACATAACGTGTGCTGTGAGCGATCTCGGCATGTGTACTCACCAGCTTCCACGATGGCTGGCTTGTTGCTAGAGCAGACAGACAGCACCTTCAGCACTCTGCTCGTGGTCCACAGAAGCTTCTCGTAAGTGTAGGTCCTCATGATGTTTACTAAGGCTTGGGGTCCACCACTGGCCAGAATGATCAGCTAGAAAGATATGGAACTGTAAGTCATGAGGCTCAGGAGATGCTGGAGACCAGCCCATCACTGAGTTACTGTACATGTAAGAACTCTAGCCAGCCTGCAATTAAACGTGTCTCTGGACCCTTCTGATCCACAGTCTCCAGGTGGGGCCCCAGGTATGTGACTCCTGTGCTACAATTCTGCTCAAATCCAGGCACACCAACTCTCTCAAGAATACAGCATCTGGAGCTAGAGAGATGGCTCAACTCTTAAAAAGGACTGGCTGCTCTTCCAGAGGACCCAGGTTCAAGTCTCAGCACCTACATGGCAGTTTACAACTGTCTGCAAATCTAGTTCAAGTGGATCTGACACCCTCAGACAGACAGACATGCAGGCAAAACAACAATGCATGAAAAAAAAATCATTAAAAAAAAAAATCAACTCTGGCCACCTCTCCACAGTGAACATAGAAGAAAATGACCATGAAAAGCAGGCAGGTTGTCTGTAGTAGTGGTGAAAGTTCTGTCAGAACAGCCAGTTGAAAATGGGCACTAAGAGCCCATAGCTTCCGACTCTGATCTTCTATGCTGTGTACCTCATGAGGCACTGTAGAATGCCCACTCCCTCATCCCTAAGGTCCTTGACCATTTCTACAGGCAAGTCTTACCCCATGCCTGTGTTTAAGATCATACCTCCAGGACTTGGTATGCCCAACAAAGCCTCACAGGATCCGCCCAGCCCAGCTACAGTCTCAGCCCACATTCTGTCTAGCACTGCTTCTTAACCTCTCTAGCGCACCATCCCTCTTCCGCCTCAGGACTGCGGCAGATGTCACCCTCTCACGGCCTCCTCCTAGACAACACCTCACTTCTCCTCAAAGATCTCCACAAGACCTCAAAGCACCTCTTCCCGGCCCAAGTGTAAAGCCTCGGGAGGCCTGCTCCCCATCCCTTCAGTGACTAGCACCGCGCTGTACACACAGAGACTCAATGCTTAAAGACACAAGGGAGAGTGAAGCACACATCTTTGAGCCTGTATGCTGAGGACTCAGTGGCTCCACACTCTGTGGAAACAACTTTCATCACTCTACCTTGCTCTCTTGATTGCCATAAGCTAAGATCTGAAGGCAGTCTGTTGTAATAGCCAAGAATTTCACGTTTGTTTTGTTGAGCAAAGCAACCATTTTCTGCAGCCCACCAGCTAAGCGCACTGCCATTTTAGCTCCTTCCTGATGGAGCAGAAGATTGTGCAGTGTCGTGATGGCGTAGAACAGTACGGAATCCACTGGTGACCTGGGAAGAGAGGAGAACCTTTGTCAGCCACGCCTGCACCCTTCTACTTCCTACCTTTCAAGATCCCTGACCATGTTCTTACCCAAGCATTTTCACCAGCGCTGGGATGCCACCAGACTTAAAGATGGCCAACAAGCCCTCACGATGGTGAGAAAGATTGTGTAGAGTCCCCGCGGTACAGCGAGCTGTTTCTACGTCATTTGTATTCTGCATGGTGCGTACAATGGCAGACACCATCTGAGGAGAGCGCATGATGGCGTGTCTGGAAGCTTCCTTTTTCGAAAGCTGATGAACCATCACAGCAGCTTTATTAACCACCACCTAGGAGAAGGGATCAAGAGGCACCGTTAGCTCCTGACATGGGGCAGCCATTGGCATCACTTGGAGAGCTTCCCTCAAAGTAAACTGAAAAGCAAGCCGCATCATCACTGCTTACCTGGTCCTCATCATTTAGCAGTTTTGTCAGCTCAGGAATTGCACGTGTGGCAAGTTCCGCGTCATCCTGATAGTTGATCAAATTGACAACGGCATGTTTCAGCATCTGCGACGGCTCAGCCAAGCGCTGGACATTAGTGGGGTGAGCAGCGTCAAACTGCGTGGATGGGATCTGCATGCCCTCATCTAGTGTCTCAGGGAACATGGCAGCTCGGACCCTCTGAGCTCGAGTCATCGCGTACTGACCGTCAATATCTGGGAAAAAAAAAGTAAACCCAACACTCACTAGGTATGTGAGACTCGGCTGCCCTCTGCCTCTCCTCCAACCCACTTGTGCTGTGTCAGACATCACACAGCCTCGTCAACAAACAACGCTAGCTTCCAAACACAAATGCTTTTACCAGCTACTTGCTCTTGCGTGAAGGACTGGGAAAAGCCTTGCTCCCACTCATAAAGGACTTGGGAGGTGTCCACATCTTCTTCCTCAGGATTGCCCTTGCCACTCAGGGAAGGAGCTGTGGTGGTGGCACCAGAATGGATTCCAGAATCCAAGTAAGACTGCTGCTGCCAGTGGCTGACAGCAGCTTTTCTGTCTGGCTCCATGGCCATGTCCAACTCCATCAGGTCAGCTGTAAAAGCAGAGCATGTCAGTGCACTGAAAATGCCACCTGAGTAAGACATCTGTGACAGTGACCCATTGACATACTGTTAGAAGGCAGCCAAGAGAGCAGAGTGAGGGCCAGTATGCGCTCCATGGAATAGGGTGACCTAACAGCACTCGGCCTCCAGAATCGCCCACCCACTAGATCCCATCCAGTGGCTTGTTGATTCTCTCACCAAGCCAGTAGTAGAGTGCATTGAGAACAAAGGCGGTTGGGCGAGGCGGCAGGGGCAGGGGCAGGGGCAGGGGCAGGGGCAGCACGGGCTTTGAGGCAGACCCCACCCACCCCATAGGCTGTGAGGAAGCAGATCCTCGGTGAGAAGCCCTGGCCGTCTTTGAGTCACAAACCTTGAGTAGCCATTGTCCACGAAGCAGTGTCACAGCAGTTGTGTGCTGAGCTTCAGATACCCTGAAAAGATTCCATCAAGTCATTACAATTTAAGCTTGATTTTAACCCAGGTCACTGTGATTCTGCTACCTGTATTAGGCTATGCAGGGCCTCACACATGAAAAGCCAGTTCACCATGGCATGGTCTGAAAATACAGACCAGTCATGGGTCCATTACCACTGAGCTTAAGTCAGGGTCATGTCCAGACAGCTCTTCTCAGTAGAAACACAGATTGTAGATACAAGGTGCTGCTAAAGAATGACCCCTCTCTAGTGAAAACTAGCCAAGGGAACACTATAAAACCCAAGTGCACTATGAATCCTGAAGGCTGTGCATGCCCTCAGGATGCCTGGAAATCCCAACAGTTAGGAGGCAGGAGAGTTGGGTTTTTTTGTTTTTGTTTTGTTTAAAAAAAAAAACACCAAATTTTTATGAACAAATCCATTGTTTTTCCTGATGTAACACAATTATCAGATCAGAAATGGTGATTTATGCAATTTATTTAAGAAAAAAATTACTTTATGTCAAAGTTTGAAGCATAGAAAAAGTGCACTTATGGATAAGATTTGTCTAAGTTCATTCAAACAATGTTGTATACACACCATGTCAACTGGTATGGATGCCCCTGTGGTTCAATATAACATCTGCTACTGGTGAATTTTAGTCTAAATTATGTCTTCATTATGGTTTTCTGTACAATATTCAAGAAAACTACAAAATCACCAAGGATAAAATAGGAGCTTAAGGCTCATGACCCCTAGGTACGCTATAAACAGGTTCCATTATTAATGTCTATCCCAAGCAGACTGCACTACAGCTAACATAATGAGTACTTACAATCAACAGGGAATGGATAAAGACACAGAAAGGACTCCTAGGTATGACTGTATTTTCAATTCATGCAAAGGCGTTTTTCAACATCTAATGAAGTTAGAAACCCCACACTACTGACCAATGTTTAGGTAGAGGGAACATACTGATCTTTTCCTGTTTTCTGAGAAACTGTTCACTCTAGAGCCCAGACTGGCACCCCTGTCTTGCTCACTCTCCTGAGTTGGGACTACATCTGGATTCTGTCACTCTTCCCAAGCTAAAGCAGGTAAGCTCAAGTTGGATCCTTGCTTCAGGGTCCACAGTACAAAGTGATACTTTAGGTGTCAAGGGATGGGATCACTACCTCAAGAACCTTCTACCCTAAGTGAAAAGCACTATTGTGCAATGGGCACAGAAACTTTCCATCTTTAATCAACAATGATGCCCGTTCGTTCCTGTGTGGACAAAGGGGGTGTGGCCTCGCTTTGCTCACCTTGAATAGTGCTGCTGTTTCCAGCCCTCAGGCCCACTGCAGCTTTGCAGAGGGGAACTTGAACCCTGCCTCTATCTAGCTCCTCATGTGACCAACACAGACAGGCCTGGAGACCAGGTGGTGCCACTACTATATACAGGCTGCACACCCAGTCACTGCCTATGCTTCCTCCTTAGTGGTGTACAACCCAAACACTTACCATCTTGCCTGGTATATACAGCTGACCTGGTTATGTGGAACACAATATATAATAACTTTATGGGGGAAAAGCTCATGTTCTAAACGCAATATCTCCACATGTTAAGAGTCCTGCCTAACAAAGCACCCTACTCAGTGCATGAAAACCATCCCTGCTCCTTACAGCACCCCTGTAGGATGGGGGACAAATGTCAGCTAAAAGGCAGGGTGAAAACACAATGAAAGAGAGGAGACAGTTTTAAGCAGCAACATGCAGTTCAAAGAAATTTTGCAAAATTCTAAGCAAGAATTCTAAGCATTATTCACCAAAACAGTAACACCCTGACAAGTCCCCCAAGAAGTGGAGTGGGGCCTTGCCCCAAAGGAAACTTTTCCTCGAGACTTCAGAAGTCCAGGGCTACTTGGTCCCTTCCACGCACACCTGCCAATCTCTTAAGGGACCAATCATATAATTCATATAACTGTCACTGAGGGAGATTCTTCAATATCAAAAGAAAAAGCTCAAAAAAAGCGAACTCAGCAAGGGCAGACAGTGAGTGCTTTTACAATGGGGTAAGGGATGCCACAAATAATTTAACCTGGTATTCCCACAAAACTTAGAACCAAAAACTGTAAGTTAAATAAATATCAACCAGAGTTGCAAAATACTCCTGAAACACCGCTGAGAAAGACCTCAGACATTTTATGAGATGAAAATGGTGATGGATCCAGGAACCAAATCAAGGTTTCAGAAAACCCACAGCGGTATGAGGAGAGCCTGCCTAAGTGCTCAGTCGGATGCCAGTGCCCATTGGCTACACAGTGTTTCATCTTGTGACAAGGAGCATGTGGGGCTCACAGCTTCTCTTGCATCTCCTTACGCAGTCTAAGGAATCTGTATACAAATTTATCTTTGGGTTTTTTCTTCTTGCTCTCTAAATGAATGTTTTACTTTTCTAGTTACCTATGAGCTCAAAGATCACCTGACTTTCATCTATCTATACATGCCTCTTGTAGAACTAGTATAGATTTACATGAAGATAATTTTCCAAGTTCCCATCAGGATAAAATTACCCTATTTATCTTGTAAGAATTCTGAATTACTAACTATGGATAAGATCACTGCATAAAGCACATACATTATAAAACCACATGCCAAAATTCACTTTAAAAAAAAATGTAGAGGAAAACAAATCCAATTATTTAAAGAAAACCCTGCTCTAATTCTGGAATGTCATAACCTTTGGATTTATCTCCAGGATTTAAAAACCTTTACTAAATGTGTAAATCTGAAAGCAGAGACCCCTGCTGTGAGCTACAGTTCTGCAGTTTCCCCCTTACTTTCTTCAGGTGTGTAGTCTTCTAGAAGTGACCCTGCTCTTCCAAAGCACACAGAATAAAATGTCCTTACTGTAGTACCCTGATAAATTTTAGGCACACAAATGGCTGAGAAACAGGAAGTAGACTGGCTATCCCCCTAATGACCACCCCACCCACCCCACCCCACCCTCACCATAGTGACAGTTCGAGTACAGTGTTTTTCTTTGGTCAGTTCTATAACATCAATCCTGCAGTTAATGACACTTTGGTATTATATAAAATTTACCACTAAAGTATTTTTTTCAAATAATAATCATGCATGTCAACCGTTATAAACTATGAATGCCAGTGCTACAGTGAATGACCACAGAAGAACTGAGTCTTGCCTCCTATTCTTGAATTCCTCATGTGCTTCTTCTAATACAAGAACATGATAAACATCTTAACATAGAAATTAAATTATTAAATTTTCTTAACTAATTCTAATGACAGAAATGCTAGCAGCACTGTGGGTTTTAAAGGATAAAAAAGAACATTTAAGCTGTGATTAACAACACTGACTAATAATCAGCAAGGCTCCAAAAACTGACAGAATTGAGTTAATCCCAAGTCCACAGAAGGCACCATACAAGCCATCCATTTCCCAAGGCCTTGTTGACAACGATCAACTGTGATCCCAGCCCACTTTACCAGCCGTCCCTGCCTACTACCCACACAGCCCGCCACTTCCCAGTACCCACCCCCACCCTGCAAGTGCTTCTTCTGCCTGGTTGAAACCTAAACACTTGTTCTGTCTTGTCTGTCAGATTTTTAATACAGCACTTTTTATGAAGCACACATATGCACTATACTTAAGTTCTTTGAATATACATATTTAGGACAAGTGTTCACATACTTCAATTTTACAATTATAACTTTGCATTTATTGTCAGCCTCACCAAATGAGTACTCAAGATAGTACCAACCCTTCCGAGTATAAACAAATGTTAAGATGATCCTTTATGAACATCACCAAGAACATTAAAAAAAAAAAAAAGCAAACATGGGCTGGCAAGATGGCTTAATGGGTAAAGGCACTTGGTACCAAGCCTGGCAACCTGAGTTCCATCTCTAGGACCCAGGAAAGGACCAACTTCTAAGTTGTCCTCTGATGTCCATGACATGTGTACAGGTGTGTGCGTGCGCATACACACTCACACACACACACAAGAAAAAATACAACAAAATACATCCTTTTTAAAAGAGACACTAGCACAGGATGAAGCTAGCAAGCATTTCAGCATGGGAGGTAGGGCCCCTATAGCCCTAGCCCAGAGCTGAGGAGCTGGAATGCTCAGGGAGGGAGAGTGGGGTTTCTTAAAGGATATGGGCTCCAGTAGTAGGTCAACCATGTTCCAATGGATGGTCTCACACCCATGAGCTTATGGGTGCCATTAACTGGAACCCGTGTGTCATTAACAAAACAAACAACAAACATGAAATCTGGAGTTTTCTGAGGTGATAGGTAGGCCTGAGAGGAGTGAAGAGAAAGACTGCAGGTGAACAGGCTCAAAGTACATTATAGACACGTAGGAAATTCTCAACAACTAATAAAAGTCACTTAAGCATCTTTTCCCTCCAGCACAATGCTCGATATCATGTGACCCAGCCACGCTGTCACAGACACACAACAACAGGTGTCAAACCAGCTGCTTCAGTGAGGGCAGCGCCAACTCTTTAGCAGGCTTTAGGTTTTATTTTAAAAATCAGATACGGTAAAACGGTATCACCTATAAAATGCTTATTAATCTGTGATGAGTACAAGGGTATTTTGGTGCAGTATTTATACCTTACATAGAACTACACAAACAAAAAATAGATATTAGCACTTCAAATAAATATCAAAGTGCAATGTTATTTTGAAACTTAAAAATCTCTGTACTTCTTTCTACACCTTTACAATTATTAAAATGGAGTCATCCTGAGAAGAAAAACTAGTTCTCTCAACAAGTAACTGCATGGTTAAGGTGAACAACACCTAACTATCAAGGTGCTTGCCCACCAAGCGTGTTTTGTAACTTAATAAGGCTTCAATATAATAACTTTAAAAGTAGCCATTACAACTATATACAAAAAACTATTGGAATCCATTCATAACAGTATCAAGAGAAAGAAAACACAAAGGGGAAGTCTTGCTTTCTAATTAGAAAGGGGTCATGTCAGATGGGGGTGCCAGCT